CTGGGTCTAACCTAGTAAGTGTTTTGAGACAGAAAAATTTCGCGATTCGCCCGTCCGCGACCCGGAACCCGAATTTCTCGTTGAAATTTAGGGCAGACGTTAACTTCTCAAATCCTCTAAGCCGGTGGAGTCCAGTGTGGGCTGATTTTGGTGAGATTTTTGGAATTGTTAATCTATTAAACAGTTCTAAAATCTTGTTATTTATAACCGGCCGGTTGCATAGATATTTCTCGCGTCCGTCTCAAATATCGGTGGCCCACGAGCGCGATCAAAACTAATTATCGAATTATCGGTTGCATAGATATTGCCCGGACTAATTCGGTAAAAAGTAGATCCGCAGTGAGTTCTACACAGTTGTGTGAGACGGCCGGTTGCATAGATATTGCCTGCGTCCACTCACCACAAGTGCAATCTCGCAAACAAAAGAAAATTGCGCGAATCAGACGTCGCGATTTTCAGTAAAAACAAAAGCAAAAGAATTTTTGCCCGACGGATGTTTTGTGATTCGAAAGAGGAATAGCTCCGCCGGTAGTTTGTAAGTAAATAAGTATCGTTTCAATCACATATTCTAACACACACACACTTTCTATTTGTAACACACTATAACCATCCTGTATTCAAAAGGTATTTTGTTATTTAAAAATAAATCATGTATTCATAAAATCAATTTCTTTACTTACCTAACTAAACCTAAAATTCAAAATCATTTCAAAAATACTGCATTTAACGAATCAGAAAAGCAACTTTTAAAAGTAGGATAACGGTCCCGCAAATTAAACAAGGTCCTTCAGACCTTGGCAGCTTGGAGCCTCCCCAAATAAGAATTTAGAGCCATCTCAAAAGCTCAATATTTAAAACAATAAATTCTCGTTTGTAACAAACAAAAAGTAGTCATCCTAGACTTAAAATTAGTTTGTAAAAAAAGTCTTAAAAAAGGCCGGTACTTAGGCTTAAATGAAGTCGCTATGTAGTCTTAAAAATAGCCGATAGCCAAAAAGTGGACTTAAAAGTAGTTTCCTTTTAAACTTCAATTTACTCGCAAGTCAATATAGTGACTAAAATAAAGCTTTCTTAAATACTTAAAAGTAGTAAGTAATACAGTTCAAATTTATTTTTCTATTGCATATAAAATTATAGTTATTAACTACACAGGGAAAAAAAGTCTGACTCCGTTTACACCTTAAATTCAGCCCATGTATTTCACATCCCCATTGAAAATCCCCATATGGGAAACCACATGGGAAACCACATGGGATCCTATGTCAAAAACCATGTAAAACCCTACTTCTGTGAAGGAAACTACGTGGTTTACCATGTGGTTTCCCATGTCAAACCATATGGGAAATTGAGACAGGATTTTAGTTAGGAATAGACATGGGAAATTTGAACAGTTCATCTATGCATAAAACCATATCAAATCCCACATGTTTTTCCTAGTCAAATCCTAAACCGAATCCCATGTGAAAAACAGTATCATTTATTTATAATTATTTTCCCATGTCAAATCCTAAACCAAATCCCATGTGAAAAACATTATCCGCCTTATTGAATATCCCTATATGGGAATCCACTTGGAATTTTACAAGGGATTTCACATAGGATTTTATATGGGAATTGACATAGGATTTCATGCAAGATTTCACCTAGGATTTAATATGAGATATAACATAGTATTTTATTAAAGATCCAATGAAGAAATTTTCAAAGGATTAAAAATTATTTAATAAAAATAACTGGCAACCTCGAATGCACAGAAGCACAGAGATTTAATTTTCTAATGCTGCTTATTTTTCTGTATTATAAAAATATTAATTCCTGAAATCGCGAAAGCGCGAACCGATATGTTCATTTTGAAAAATTATTTTTTAAACGGCGAAATAAACATTCATTACATTCTTCTAACGCACAAACCGATATTATTATTTTTCATAATTACTTTTATGATCAGCTGAGTAAAAATTACTTCCTGAAAACGCGAAAGCACGAACATATTTTTTCAGTGTCTTAATTATTTATACGGTCGCCAAAATAAATATTACAACTGGCAACCTCGAATGCACAGAACCAAAGAAACTTGATTTTCTAAAGATGCTTATTTTTCTGTATTGTAAAAATATTAATTCCTGAAATCGCGAAAGCGCGAACCGATATGTTCATTTTGAAAATTTTTTTTTAAACGGCGAAATAAACATTTATATTCGCACGAACCGATATTATTATTTTTCATAATTACTTTTACGGTCAGCTGAGTGAAAATTATTTCCTGAAAACGCGAAAGCACGAACATATTTTTCAGTGTCTTAATTATTTATACGGTCGCCAAAATAAATATTACAACCGGCAACCTCGAATGCACAGAACCCAAGAAACTTATTTTTCCAAAATGGCGTGTTATTTCTGTATTATAAAAATATTTATTCCTGAATTCGCAAAAGCGCGAACCGATATGTTCATTTTGAAAAAAAAAATTTAAACGTCGAAATAAACATTTATATTCGCACGAACCGATATTACTATTTTTCATAATTACTTTTACGATCAGCTGAGTAAAAATTACTGCCTAAAAACGTGAAAGCACGAACAGATATTTCCAGTTTCTTAATTATTTATACGGTCGCCAAAATAAATGTTACAACTAGCAACCTCGAATGCACAGAACCAAAGAAACTTAATTTTCTAAAGATGCTTATTTTTTCTGTATTATAAAAATATTAATACCTGAAATAGCGAAATCACCAGCAAAAGAAACTTGTCTTTTAGAATTAATAATATAACGATTGACAAATATTCTAACAAAATCGCGAGCCGATATGTTTATTTTTCAAAATTGATTTACGATATTAACACCTTAAACCGCGAAATCATGAGGCGAAAATGCTTATTTTTTCTAAATTGATATTACGGCTTATAAAGAAAATATTATATACTTTAAATCTCGAAAGCAGGATCCAATATGTTCATTTTCTATAATTATCTTCCGGGAAGCGAAATAAAAATTAAATTCTACAAACGCACGAACAGATATTCTTTTTTTTACAATTACTTTTACGTACGGCGAAGCAAAATATTATAACGTACAAACGCAAAAGTACATCTTTTAAACAGTTAAAGATAAACAAGTTGAGATATTAAACAAGTTTCAGCATTTGCTGTATCTTATAAATAAACAATTATTTGGCCTTAAGAAGTTGATTTTATGAAACCATTTAATTTTAAACTGGAATCTCATAAATAAGGAAAAAACTAATACTTAAAACATACAGTACCGTCCGAAATTGTCAGTCCACCCATTTTTAAAAGAATGAAAAAAATTTTTTAACATAAAATTCATGAAAACTAAAATTTTTTTTGGTTTATATTTTGAAAGAAGATAAAATTCTGGAAAGAATAAGACCTTACAGAAGTCATTTGGCCAATATTTGTAAAAGATATTCTTAAAAATCGTAATTTTCAATGTTTTACAAAAATTTCAATAACTTCTAAAATAATGAACGCTTTTTAATAATCTTAGGCTTATTTTAAAGGTCATGTTCTACGAAATAAGAATTACTTATAGGCATTAACCTGTAATTTTTTATTTGGAATAAGCATGACGTCAAAGTTGAACAAAAAAATTGGAAAAATTTGAAATAAATTTTTTGTACTAAAAACTATTCTAGAACATATGAGGCATTCCATTTCAAAACGACCCCCTTCGTAAACAATTGCCAATGTAAGACAATTTTTAAATGAATATTTCTTCCATTCTGTAGAACCAAATTACTTTTTATATTAGTGATTTCGAAAGTAGAATTTCTGAACTTTCTGATAATAAAAAAGTATATTTTTTTAATAATTTAATTTAAATAGAAAATTGAGTTAAAAAGTTAAACTTTGAAAAATCTCAAAACACGTTACCTCCGATTTTAATAAAATTCATATCAAACGAAAGCTTGAATATTCTTCTTTTTATTTGTCAAACGATAATAATGGACATCTCAGTAGATTTTAAGAAAATAATTAAATTTCACAAACATTTCGAAGGTTATATTGAGAAAACCATTTATTAAGTATAGGGCGGCATTTGTTTTTCCCAATTTATGCATAATAACCTTCTAAATGTCTGTAAAATTTAATTATTTTCTCAAAATTCACTGAAATGTCCATTATTATCGTTTGATAAATAAAAAGAACAATATTCAAGCTTTCGTTTGATATGAATTTTATTAAAATCGGAGGTAACGTGTTTTGAGATTTTTCAAAGTTTAACTTTTAAACTCAATTTTCTATTTAAATTAAATTATTAAAAAAATATATTTTTTTATTATCAGAAAGTTCAGAAATTCTACTTTCGAAATCACTAATATAAAAAGTAATTTGGTTCTAAAGAATTAAAGAAATATTCATTTAAAAATTGTCTTACATTGGCAATTGTTTACGAAGGGGGTCGTTTTGAAATGGAATGCCTCATATATAAAACATGATATGGTGTAGATTTTTCAAGAAAATTTAATAAAAAAATATGTTTGGATTTCAAAAATTATTTTTATTTTAATAATATTATTTCAAATTTTTTGAATTTTTTTGTCCAACTTTGACGTCATGCTTATTCCAAGTTAAAAATGACAGGTTAATGCCTATAAGTAATTCTTATTCTGTGGAAAATGGTCTTTAAAATAAGCCTAAGATTATTAAAAAGCGTTCATTATTTTAGAAGTTATTGAAATTTTTGTAAAACATTGAAAATGACGATTTTTAAGAATATCTTCTACAAATTTTGTCCAAAAGACTTCTGTGAGGTCTTATTCTTTTCAAAATTTTATCGTCTTTCAAAATATAACCCAAAAAAAATTTGAGTTTTCATAAATTTTATGTTAAAAAATTGTATTCATTCTTTTAAAAATGGGTGGACTGACAATTTCGGACGGTACTGTATATGTAATACTGATTTTTTTAAATTAATCTAATTTTTAAGTTTTATTATTAATTAACCTTTAGAATTAGTTGGAAATTTGAAAATAAATTAACCTTAGATTTTATATCGTAAAAAACAAAATATGTCTTTTTTAACTTATGCTACTTAATATTTTTCCTATCACTTATGTGATTTAAATTAAATTTTTTAAATCATAAAATAATAGTATCACCTTTGCATTTGTATCCCCTCCAATAACAAAGTTTCAGTTTGGTTGAAAAAATCCTAATTTATACCGATTTTGTCCAGAGAATTGAATTATCCTTTCATTCATCTTCAACAATACGTGAAAAGTATGTGGAATATTTTGAATTGATCTCTGCAAATTTAATAAGATTTTTATTAAAAATACATTTTACGGTTTACTATATATATATATATATATATATATATATATATATATATATATAGTAAGTATAGTATTTTTTCAGTCTTGGAAACACTAAGATCTTTTTTTAAATTACTTACTACTTTTTAATACACTTAGATACATCGATATACTCTGCATTCAATTTATACCCGTTCCATATACAAAAATGGTCATAAAAAAATAGTTTGTGAATTTTATTCTACAAAAAAAATTACTTATAATACATCCAGACTTTTGTGTTATTTTATGTGGATGTCCGCATAAAAAGGAACCACTTTGGCACTATTAGACTTATCTATACGATGAAACTGAAGTTACCAATGTTGATTCAACGAAAAACTAAAAAAAAATTCCTCTCTAAAAAGATCAGAATACAAATTTTTCGCAATAAAATTTGATTATTTTGAACCCAAGTAAACTCTCAAAACGCAAAAATAAAAAAAAAGTTGTAAAAACAGTAGTTCTCAATTTTTGATCCCGGATTTTACAAAAATTCGAGAATTTCGAGTAAAGTGTTAATTTCTCCCCCCGGTAGTTATTTTTTTCTTCTGATATTTACGTATTGTAATATCAAAAACCATTTTTAAAAAAGTTCAAAAGATTTCGAGTCGACTAAAGCAGTGATTTATGAAACTGAAGTTACCAACGTTTATTTAACGAAAAAAATTTCTCTAAACAATTAAAGATACAAATTTTTCTTGTTTATTTTTAACCCAAGTAAAGCCTTCAAACCCTAAAATAAAAAGGTGGGGAAACAGTAATTCTTATTTTTTTCACGGATTTTCCAAATATCACGAAATTTTAACTAAATTAATAATTCCTGGCACCGATAACAACTTTTTTCTTTTGATAATTATTTATTCTAATGTCAGAAGCTATTTAAAAAATTTCCAAGTAATTCCAATAAGGGGAAAGCAGTGATTTTGATTTTTTTGTCATAGATCTTCCAAAAATCCCGGAATTTCATTTAAAAAATCAAAACCACTACTTTCTCCGACTTCGCAGAACTTTGCATTTTTTTAATTGCTTGTGACATAAAAATAAATAATTATCAGAAGAAAAAAATTTCTTCCGAGTCGAGGAATTATTAATTAAGTTGAAATTTCTAAATTTTTGCAAAATTCGTAACACAAAAACAATCAAAATCACTGCTTTCTCCGACTTGAAATCACTTGGAATTTGTTTTAAATGAGCAGTGACATTTAAATAAATAGTTATCAAAAGAAAATAATTGTTATCTGGACAAGAAATTATTAATTCAGTTAAAATTTCGTGGTTTTTTTGGAAAATCAGTTTATTATAAAATGGACAAAAAAAAATCTCTTGGCGATCGTCTTTTATGAGCAAAATGGTTTAAATTGTAATTACCCATATGACGTTCAACGTTAAATGAAAGAAAAAAGCTAATAAATTGTCATCGGAACTGCGGTAGAAAAGTTATTAACATTTTAAATATTAAAAATTTCTAAAATTTTATTTTTATCCGGTTTTTGTGTATTAAATTTTCATTAAAGATTTCAAATATTGTGACTGCAATAATAATGTTTTTAATCTTACCAAATCAATGACGGATTTGATTCAATAGTCCTCTTTTATACCACTTTTTGATTATTGTCCAAGTATTTTTTCCCTTGATTTAGGCTAATTCCAGTCCTGAAGTAAATAACTCATTTAAAAGTTTTTCTGGTCAACATGCCTCCACATCAGTTGTTTCTGAAAAATTTAAATTACTATTTATTATACCTTTAATAATAATAATAATTAACTTATGATTACAATTAGCTAATAATTAATTTTCCTATTCTTTAAAATTTTTGACTATTTTTATCTCACTGTAAGAAACTTTTTCTATTACATATTACTATTTTTATTCAATTTATTTAAATAAATACATTTTTTTATTGGATAAACATTTTCCTTAAAGTCATAAATGGTTTTTTCTTACCAAGTCCAATTCTCTTTCACTCCAGTGATTTGTACTGACTATGAATTATTAATCAGCAATAGATTTTTCAACACTGATGAAAAATGTGGGTTTATCAACATAGTCTACATCCTGCAAATTAAACTTTTCATCAGGTCTTTTATATACGAAGTTGAAATCCACAACGTTGACAAACGAAAAAGATTTATTTAATGCAATGAAGTATAATTTTTAATATAATATTTAATTGTAAAATAATCATTATCAAAAAATAAACATCAATCTTTTCTTTCTAAATATTGTTTCGTCAATATTGCTGCGTAATTTTGAATTAATTTACTTAGTGAACAATTTTTTTTTCTTTGATCAACGTTATGGACTTCAACTAGGTTTTTATATTTATTTCAACGATTCAAATCTTTTTGTTTTTACAATTGCTATCATGTGAAGCATTTAAGAATGAACAAAAGTTTTGGAAGATAAAATCTATAAAAACAGTTTAGTAAAATTAATCATTCTATTTATATAATTATGTTTACTACTAATATGAGTAGTTTTTAAACTGGACACTTTTATACTTTGATTTGTCAATTAATCAATTCACTTTTATTATTCAATAATTTTTTCTACATTCAAAAATGAATTTAAAAATGTCGCAAAAGTTATTTTAAAAAATATTAAATTTAGAAACGCATTCATTTACTGTAAGTTGAACTTAAGAAATTGAATAGGTAATTTCTGTTTTTAATAAAATTCACTAATGTTACTAATGTCAGTTTACTTAAAATAATGCACTGTTTGAAATAATTAAAATTTTTATATTGTAATATGTACCAAAACCAATTTACTTTAATTTTAAAATACGTATACCTGTAGTATATAGGTTATGTAGCTTTTATTTCTTCCCCAACAAAACAAGAGCTAAATAACTGTGTATTTGGGGAGAAATATTCTTCTGTAATTAATTATTATATATACAATAAAAAAACAAAAGTTTTAGAGATGAAATTGAATTTAATTTATTTTAATATAAAATTAAACTTATTCTCATAATAAATTTTTATTATTTACAAAGCTAATTTAAAAAAGTCACCCTTACAAGGAAATTTTATAAATATTTTACTTACTCCATTATATCTGCTGATAATTTTTTTCAATTTGACGATAAAATGATTCCCTTTACAGGTTCTCTTCTTTCTTCAATTTTTATTTTTATAATAAAAAAATACCACAGCACATGTCACTCGTGAGGCTAATTAGAATTTTAAAGCAATTTCTAGTTAAATTACACTTTCTTAAAAAAAGTTATGCCTCTTGACACATTTAAACAGTTTTTTATCTAAAAACAAAACTATTTCACTATTATCCGTTAACTTCGTCACCGCAAAAACAGGCTCTATAACTTGTATTTCTGTAAATAAAATACATAATTTTGTTAAGTTATTTGTTTATGTTCAAATTGTGTACTTCAAATAATTGTTTAAAAAACCTTTTTTTCCATAATTTTGACTAAATAACAGTCATCAACCCAAATTTATGTTATTTCCTACCTACCAACAAATTTCCAAGCAAAAATATAAAGTCCATTCACAAGTAGGTTTGTCCCAACGGAGTTTATGAAACGGACAAAATGCGCTTTTGTGGCGGGCTAATTCAAATTTCATTTTCGAAATTTAGAGAACAATCTGAGTTTGTCAAAATTTTTTTACATTTAAAACAAATTTTTTATGAAAAAATAAAATAAAATAAACCAGAAATATACGTAGTTCTTTGAACATGCGTTATGTGCTGAAACTAATTTTTTTATAAAACAAAATGTTTTTATATGTCCAAAACGATGCGATCTCAGCGATCTTTCTTCATAGGGGCAATTAATGCAACTTTAGTTTACTATGTGTCCATAATGTTTACGAACATTACAAACAAATGACAACTTTTTGATAGAGTTAATTGTATTGTGAAAATTGACATTGTTATTTGTAATATCAGTTATTTAATTGAAAATACTGAAAAATTACGATGCCTATAACGAACAAAACTCGAATTAGAAAAAGTGGCCGACAACAAACTTCTTATATACCTCGTTCTCGGAAAAAAGTGCTATTAAAAGGTAAGTAAATGATGCTTTTTTACATTTTTGTATAATTTTAAAACATTTTTACCTAAAAATTTGCACTTGTCTGTGTTACATATTAAAAATATTTGTTTCTTTTTAAACTTTGGTCACAAATCTTAGAAATATTTACACCATCCAAAACCTTTAGAGAGAATACCCGACATGGAAATCAATTCAATTTTATTGTAAATTTACAAACATGTTAATTAATAATTCCTCGCCAAGGTATCAATTTTTCTTTTCGATAATTGTTTATATCAATTTTAGAAATTATTTAAAAAATGCCAAGTAATTCCAAAGCAATAATTTTGTATTTTCTGTCGAATTTTTCCAAAACATTACGATTATTCAACTAAATTAATAACTCCTCTCCTCGTTATGAATTGTTCATATTGCTAATTATTATTTTAATATTATAAATAATTTAAAAAATACAGAGTAATTCCAAAGCAATGATTTTGAATTTTCTGTCAAATTTGTTCAAAAAATTACGAAATTTCAACTTAATTAATAATTCCTCGCATCGGTATTAATTTTTCTTTTTGCTATTTGGTAATTTCCAATATAGAAAATTACTTAACAATACCAATTAATTCCAAGGGGAAAAGGAATGATTTTGTATTTTCTGACGAATTTTTCCAACTCTCTAAATTTGAATCAGTTAAAAATAACTGATTCAGAAGCAAAAAGTCAGTCACTAATTCAGATAGTAATATTTCCACTGACAATAAGTTAAAAATAACTGATTATTAGTTAAAAATAACTGAAGTTTCAGTAAATTTTTTTTGATTGATTTAATGAGTCAAGTTTAACTATTTTTTCAGTTATTTTTTTACTGATAATTAGTTATTCTTTCACTGAAAATCAGTTATTTTTAACTGTTTCAGAAGCAAAAAGTCAGTCACTGATTGTCAGTTAAAACCACGATTTTTAACTGATTCAAATTAAGAGAGAAAACATTACCTACGATTATTCAACTAAATTAATAATTCCTTACCTCGGTATTAATTTTTCGTTTTGCTAATTGTTCAATTCAATATTAGAAATTATTTTAAAGTATTAATTAGTACCAAGGCTGAAAACAAGTAAATTTTAATTTTTTTCTCGAATTTTTCCTAAAAATTACAAAATTTCAACTTAATTAATAATTCCTCGCCTAGGTATCAATTTTTTTTTGCTAATTGGTTATTTCAATAATATAAATAATTTTAAATATACTAAGTAATTCCAAGGGAAAAACGCAATAATTTTAAAATTTCAGTAAAATTTTTTAAAAAAATTACGAAATTTCAACTTAATTAAAAATTTCTCGCCTCGGTATCAATTTTTCTTTTTGCTAATTTTTAATTTCAATATTGTAAATGATTTAAAAATACCAATTAATTCTAATGAGAAAAAGCAATAATTTTGAACTTTGTGTCGAATTTTTTAAAAAAATTACTAATTTATAACTTAATTAATAATTCCTCGCCTCGGTATCAATTTTTTTGCTAATTGGTTATTTCAATAATATAAATAATTTTAAAAATACTAAGTTACCAAGTACCAAGGGAAAAACGCAATAATTTTGAACTTTCTGTCAAATTTTTTCAAAAAATTACGAAATTTCAACTTAATTAATAAATTTTCGCCTCGGTATCAATTTTTCTTTTCCTAATTTTTAATTTCAATATTGTAAATGATTTAAAAATACCAATTAATTCTAATGAGAAAAAGCAAATAATTTTGAACTTTGTCTCGAATTTTTCAAAAAATTACTAATTTTTAACTTAATTAATAATTCCTCGCCTCGGTATAATTTTTTTATTGCTAATTGTTAATTTCAAAATTGGACATTGTTACGTAGAAAAAATTTAAATGTTACGCGGCAACATCGCATAAAGATTCTTTTCTTTCAGCGTCGAGGCTAGCTACAGTGTAGCGAAGTTTCGACGCCGGACACTTGACACCCTGACAGGAATTTCTTTGTCAGCCTTAATGCTTTCAGCTGAATGTTATTAATTTCCTGAATATTTAATGTTATAATGATATATATATATATATGTATTGAATTATGAAGCAATTGTACATCTTGATAAAGCTCGCGGCAATATTACGAAGCAAAATGAGCGATAAGTAATATTGTGGCATGTATTGAATAATCTTATATTCCTAATTGAAAATATAAAATGGCGCAATATTGCAGCCTAATTGTTGGAAAGAAAATTAAAATCATATGAATAAGAGTGAGAGCATTCATCATAGTGTTTGTGCATGTGCCCGGATGGCTACGGCAACACATACACAGACGCGGACTTGCTGGTTACGAGAACCAACACATTCATGGACTTGTCGGTTGTAGGTAAACTCCGCCGCCGACCACGTGCTACAAACACCAACACATGCGTGTCTCACTATAGTCTCCACTCGTTGCTTGATCCTCCAGTAAACCTTCCTTTTCCCGCGGGCCCATAAGCTGTGAGTCACAGCATCACAACAAAAGCACGTGTGCTTCCACAGCTGACTCAGTGACATAAGATGCTTAATGCACCTTGCTCTTCTGTATACGAACATTACAAAATTAAAAGGAATAACTATTGGTCTTATAGCTAAACATTTTAATTCGGCTATGCTGTTTTTAAAATGACGGAGGACTATAAGTTGCAATTATATATGTATTATATTTTAATGCATTGTACCTGCAACTTATGCACACTGTAAAAAAATCTGGTGTAAAATAACACGAAACTTGTAATTTCACACATCAAAATTATAGGTTGTACGTAGTAAATTTATTTCGTTCCAAAAGTAGTTTTACTATTTTTAATAATTTTACATTATACGACTATGTAATTTAATAGTTTTGTGTAAATTTACTACGTCCGACGTAGGAAAATTTGATCACTATGTCCGACGTGGTATTTTTACATTGCGTGTATTTCTACACTTTGACGTAATATTACGTCGCACGATCTGTACAATTACATGGCGAATGTAATTTTCTTATTCCTTTAAGATTTTCAAAAAAT